AATTTGTGGGTCAACCTTGTCAAAGGGGGGGGTAGCGTCCACCTGTGTCGTGGTTGATAGTCTGGGTTCATCTTGTAGCTGTACATACTGTACGTTACTATACACGACAGTAGTAGTAGTCGTCAAGATGCCGCGATCCCATCGGAGCGACCGGGCTCGGGCTCGATTATTTGTCTTTGTTCACTGTTGGAGTATTTGCAGTACAAGAACGACTCTTATGTATTCTACTGCATGGGTTAATGCGGTATTGTGAAGGGGTTGCCGAGTCTGTCACCTCAGGTGAAGACAGAGGTTGGGCGTCTGTGTGGTTAATAAGATCACTCGTGTTGTGCTTGCCTCCTACCTGCAGTGACAGTGCAATTGCCTCGAATTCACTTCTTGGCGAGAGATTGCTCACACCTCGACGACATAGCGGATCCACGTGCTTGGTTTATACGCCGGGCAGAGGCGGCGACGTGGGTAGATAGATTGATGCGTTCCAGGAGGAAAGAAGGACCTTCGACAACAACGCTGCTGCGCACGAGCTCGTCGTAAGCCCGCGAAACCCTTGGGGATTCCCGTTCCGCCGAAATTTTCGTTCTGGTCCTACCAACGTCATCACTCGGGAGGGTATGGAATACCAGTGATTGAACGCCGTAAACCCATGTGATCCAGCCGGGTTGGTCTAATGGTGTAACTTTATCGAATATGATGACGTTCGTACTCACGACAACTACGAAATTGCGCCATGGTGCGCAGTTCCAGCAAGATTGGGTTTGTTGTTATTTGCATGCTTGGGAGCACAGCAAGATTGGGTTTGTTGTTATTTGCATGCGTAGGAGCACTAACGACTTCCCCTTTCCTTTCCCCGCTAACGCCACCGTAGGCCACCGACGCTACACGTGCAGGGCATGCACGGCCGGCGACAGCGCGTTTCTTTGCCGAGACGAGTCATTTTTTTTTCGTACGCTACAGCCGACAGAGTGCACTCACACTCCCCATTTTCTGGCATTCTTTGCTCATGCCCGCGGAGGGCGCTGCAACGTTTTCGTATCACAGACACGCGCGCGACTCTAGCCGCAGATACTTCCTACCACATGCAATGCATACTCGCATTCGATATAGACTATATGAACAATCGCAGGAATGAACAGGAGTCTCGTTGCCGTGTTTCTGTGCTCCGTTACGTTTCTCGACGGTTCGCCTGGATTCTCAGCATCGTTTGACGCTTGCCTACCCGTAGGTACAACCCAATTCACGGCTGCTGTATTTCTTGCTGTTCATGACATACACGATGGTTCGTGCTTCGGCGCTATCGGTCACCACCGCGGACACCTCTTACGGCTACAATTGTTCCAGCTCTTCGTCGCAGACACACGCACAATTTCAGGCAGCATTTCTTCCACCTGAGACGCGAGTGGGGCGGCGACCTCGACCGTCACCATGACTCAGTACCGGCCGGGCATCCTCCCGCACCGTCTTTACTGCTGTCCAACGACGAGAAGAGTGGGTACTAATTCTATCAGCATGGCAGTGGCTGTTCGCCTGGCATCTCCACCGCTGCTCAGTACGATAACGGTGATGGAAACGTCCGGCCAGGGCGGTGTCGACCCTCTCCAGAACCAATATGCCGACCTTTAGGGGGAGCTCCGGCTCTGCACACCATCACGTCTACCATCCCCCCGAGGGGCTGTGGCAGCGCACTCGCCCCGTCCCGGCTACCCTCGCCGGCGGCGCTGCAGAATAGTCGTCGGTGGGCTGCGGCGGGGTCGTCCGTGCCACGGACAACCAGTTTTGATACCCAGTTTTGGCGGAAGCGGGTTTCCAGTGTGGCACCACGGCGCGTGGCACATCACGCGGTCCTGTCGGCAGGTGTCCCCGGTGGCAGTGCCACTTGGGGTGTGGCCATGTTCCTTGTCCACGGGGCGTCGTGGAGCCGCGACGACGGCCGACCGCCCCTCCGGGCTCCGGAAGAGTCGCCACGTGGGCGGCAGGCTGCAGGCACAAATGTTTCGTGTCCACACTCATAGGGCAACGGATGAGTCACCAGGTATGCGGCAGGCTCCATGCGCAACAGTTTCGTGTCGAAACTATTCGGGCGATGACGGTGCGGTTGGGAAAAACAACACACACCACCAGCATCGCGGGCAACCCCTGTATTGTTAGCCTCTTGTTTCTTCCTACCTGACACTTGTTTCCGAGGAGCAAATGCTAGTTCTCAAGCCCGAGCAAGTTCTGCAGAGCATCCGAGTGGGGGCGACGCTCGCATGTTCGCCGGGAGAATTTTTTGCCATTTCGTGGGACGTTGCGCTCTACGCTCTTTCATTGCCATTCTCTACAGGCGCGATGTGGTTGCCAGGTTCGGCAAGTTCTTGCCATCGTCCACTGACGCAGTATTTGTTCTGCGGACATAAATTCCCGAAAGTTGCATGTTGTTGCCGCTGCATGCATTGCAGCCGCGAATGGCGTTGAGTGGGTCCACCAAGATTATTACCGCAGTAGGGAAGCATTCCCCCCATGACGGCCGTCCTGCAAGTCGCGGACAACGAATCTACCCGCGAAGAACCCTGCCCTCCTTCCGCGTCGAAGGACAGTCGTGGTGGGGCACAGCGGTAGGCACAGTCTAGAAGGTGGGAGCTTTGAACCCGGAAAATGGGAACGCACGGCGCCGGGGCGAATACCGGCGACCCGGGAAGAAATTCGCAAGTTGGATAGAGATTCCGCAGAAGCTAACGATGCGACATCGGACCCCGACTTGGCTGAGCGATTCTCGGCGCGCCCTGCGGCAGGTTTCAAGTAAGTTGTGGGGTTTGCGAGGCGGTAACCCGCCTCCCGGCCTGGCGTCTAAGAAGGCAATGTGTACAACAGTAGTCATTTGCCTAGCGTGTCGCCGCGGCGTAAATGTTTCACGCCGCGACGATATACCCAGGGGCGAGGACCTCCTGCCAAAGGGGCAGGAGGCCTCATCCAGTCCAATACTTGCATCAAGTGATCGACAACGGTTTCACGAATACAACAGGAAAGAAGGACCGTCCGCAACAAGTCAACCTGCTCCACCGTCCGTAGCAATATCGCAGAAACCGGTTCTCGCACCACAGCAAGGGATAGCTCCTCAAACAACAGTGAGGAGTCTTGAAATCGTCTCAGCTACACAGAACTGCTGGTAGTTCTCGGAGGCTCGCAGTGGGCTGAGATCGAGACGCGATCGGTCGAGTGGAGGAATATACTATGATGCATGCGAACAAGGGTCTACGCAAGGGTCTACCTGAAAAAAAATCCGGACAATGGGCAACCCCCCCTACCCCCCCCCGCGGGAGGGCAATTTCGATTTCTGTCATATATTGGAAATAGCGTACGGGGTTTCGTTCCCGAAAATAAGTCATTGACCCCCCTACTGCAGAGGGTTTTCTATCCGCGGTGCCCCTTACGAATATGTCTAGAAATTAGAGTCCCCCACCCGCAACATCATCCCCCCCCCCCGGCGGACCCCGATTTTCGATTATTGTTGTGGGCCTATGTGTCTGACTTGTTTTCACGTTGACCCTTGGTCTACGCGAAAACATTTCGGACACATGAGCCCCCCCCCGCCCC